TCCAAGCGAATTATATATCTTTATGTCATGATGGCAGTTGGTTTTATCTAGAGATGTATCGCCTTAGGTCCCTACAATGTCCAGATGATGGTCCCCTTATCTCCAGCTACTTGATGAACAGAAATTCTGGCTGTATTCACACAATTAATCAGGGAAATCTCCTGCCTCTTGTCTTTTTAATCACAGACACACAGCAACAAAGAGCAGCAAATTCCTGCAGGAAATGTTTCCCAATACCCAGGTATTAAGGCAGTAAGAAAAGTGAGAAAAACTGTATTGTGTTCTAAGGCTAAAGCTGGCCATACAATGTTAGAATTCCAGCCGATTCACAGTGGGTGGCCCTGCCGGCTGTAAAAAAGGCAATCACTTAATTGAAGCTTGTTGAAGGAGCTGGTATGCAAATTGGAAAAAAAAAAATCAACTGCAGGTCCTGTACAGGTATTCCAACAGCAGTGGTCACAGGCTATCAGAATAATATACATAGGCGGGGGAGATTTGTCAATCCACATTGTTTAGCATGGATGGAGGAATCTGTTCAATTTTTCATTCAGCCCGCAAGCTGAACAAAATAAATCTGGTGTATAGCCAGCTTTAGAAGTACTCAAAGAAGATGCTCAATATTGCCGCTTCATGCTATACTATACTAAAAACAGGCTGCACCATAGGGTACCTACTAATGGGCTACTCAAATGAAGGCTGTCAACATAGACTGACATCAACACATGTTCAATTTAGAATAACTATAGAACTAAGAGAACTAGAACTAACTTTAGGCTCTATTATTGCATAATGTATTATATTCTAGAGCATAAATATTTATAATGTAGCAATATGAACAGGCATTTGATATAAAACTACCATTAAAAGTATGCAATTCCTTCAGATCTCTAAGACCTGTATTCTGTGTTAATGGGAAAACATAACAAACACTAAAGGCAGCAGCGGACATGTTCAGTCACAGGTACACTTATTCACGGGTGGTGGTGGGAAGCTTTTGGAAATTCACATCTTGCCTGATTACCTTGCACATTCATCATGAACAACATTGAAATACATTTTTCAGAGACAATACTGTTAAAACAACCCAGTGATTATGGTACAACCACTCAAACATAGTTCCATTGGTAGAACAAAGAATTGCAAGCAGATCCAGGTTACATATACTAGTGCCTTTTATGCCTTCTGACTGTTAAACAAATTTAATCTTGGAAATTCCAAAGGGGAAAAACACAGCAAACAATACAAGATTGTGTTCACTTCATTTTTTTTATCCTAACAAAGGGAAACAATTATGAAAAACAAATTGGCATTTATACACTTCTAAAGTGTTGGTTTCAGAACACCATTCGACAATCCTTTACTAGAGCAGCACTCTGTAGTCCGGGTATCGGGAGTGATAAGTATATACTTTCCTCTTTACACGTACAACTTTTCTGGGGAATTTTAGTTGGGCTACAGGGCCACTAATGCTAAATTAATTGGCCACAAACCTGGGCAAATCAAACTGAGCATATGGTAAAAAGCATAACCACTGGCTACCTCCAGTAGACCCATATCAAAATGATTCTCTCCCCCCCCCC